ACTAAACAGACATTAATTAACATCCCTTTTAATAAACATCTATCCATTAAAGGTAACGTTCCATATTTATTGACTTATTACTATTTCCACAGATTATCAATTTTCCTCAGTTTTTCTCTGCTTCCCCTCACTCTACTTATCTTATCTCTAACATTACTAATGATCTTCAACTTTTTCACTTTCTCATGTGTCTTGCCAGGATAAACACCTTATATGCAAGCCAAGGGATACAGAGGTCAAATATTATGCCTCACCACCTCATTCACTGTGTATACCAGCGAAACAAATATACAAAATCACACTGACATACAAAAAGCAATAAAGCACAATTTTCCTCATCGTGCTCCTGGTAACATTTTGACCATTCTCTTATTCTATACTAAGGTTATATGGATACTTATAATCATTGCAAAATACAACAAAACTGCTCAAGGTTAATGGCAATTAACAATTAGCTCGACAAGCCAAATGACCCAATAAATTTATAGTAAAAAATATTCAAAGATGAAGAAAGACAAAGAAGGGCTGTTTATCACATCCAAACTCTCACAAATTTCCTCCAAAAATCTAGAAACTATAGTCTTATACAAGCTATTGCACACTTCAACTTGGGAATGCAATGATATAAAATGAAAATCTGAATTTTGGAGTTTTGGAGAATTGACAACACTATGTTGAAATATTTTACCCAGCTTGCCCAGCATTCAAAAGCCAGCAGAAAAAAATGGGAAACCTGCACATCTAATGGAAATCACATGTTTCTGCTCCCCCTCATTCTACCTACTATAAGTTATTTTCAATTTTCTTCAGTCTCATCCATCAGAATATAGAGCAGATTGACAAAGCCAAGGGACAAAGAGGCTGAATATTAAGCTTCGCATTGCATTCACTGTGCCTTAAAAACAAAAAAGCAACCCAAACTGTTTGTAGGCCACAATGAAGTACAAATTAAAGTATCCCATAAAGATGAAGAAATCATAGTTAATTTGCATTTACAGCTGTAACACAGGGGAGCACAGAAAAAACATTAAATTGTACAAATATCTCTCACTTTGTTCTGTGTGTATCTTATCTCAAAGTAAACAATGGGAGAGTGGAGGCAAGGCTCAAGGTGCACTAATATTATTTCCTTCATAAGACCTTACTGAAACCATTGAAATAAACAAAGGTTTACTGTAGTCCAGCCATATTTATTACTGTAGCCATATGCTGAACAGCTAGCATAATATACAAGGTTTCAGGAGAATTATGGCACCTGGAGAAACATCAGTGTGTTAGCAGTGCATACAGGTTTATACATAATTCTTCCAAACTGGTGGCACAAGATGCTTTTAAAACTGTTTTGACAAATTGAGGTCTTAGCATGAAGTTGCTTCTGGCTTATGCAGGTGAAGCCAATTCATAAAGCAGTCTGCAGTCCAGTCTGTTAATCAGTGGTTCCATCCAAAATAACTAGGGCACCACTAAATACTGTACAAATTCAGACATTTAGAAATTAAGACCCCATAATTTGTTTAAAAAGCTGAGTGCAGGCTGTTCTACCTTGAACATTCGCTTTCAACCTTTCATTCAAGAGATAAAAAAGATTAATCTTTACTACGGAGCAAAGGGAAGATTTCACTTTTCTTACATACCTGATGAATCTGTCGCAATATACTTTTTTATTAGCAGTTATTGACTTACCCTTACTTTAACCATATTGTGCTTGCTTTAGGGGTTTTCACTGTTCTCTAAGTTGTTAATTTTAATGACTTACAGTACAACAGCTGCATTTCTCTAGACCAGTATTATTTATCCTTACACTAATTCTAAGTGTGGTTTTCCCCTAGGTATGCCGCTTTTATTACCCTTTCCAACTACAATAAAAAGTATCCTGCAAAAGACTGAGAGTGACTAGTCTGAGAGCCTAGTCCAGTTATGGGGCTCAGTATTAACCCTTCATGTGCTTAACTAGTAGGAAAATCTATCTGGCCCCCACTTTTCCAGCAGTAAATATTGAAGAAGCCTGCATGTAGAATCCAATCAGAAATTCCATCCCTCTTCCACATTACAAACCTTGAGCTAAATAGTGACTTTTTTGTTTACATTGGCTTCTTGCTACTACACAAAAAAAACCTGCCACCGTGTCCTGGGTGTGGAGTTTTTGAGTCAGGTGGGATAACGTTTTGATTAATGTGGGCAAATGTTGAACTAGTTCAAGTAGGTAGCTGTGTCAGCATTCATAGGCTGCAAAGGAACAAGTAAAGGTTTATTCCATGCTGAAAAGAGAAGAAAAGAAACACGTTTCAGAAGAAGGCTCCGCAGCCAAAAAGTTGTGTTTCTTTTTTTTCTCTTTCCAGGATGGAATAATTCTTATAAATGTTGAACTTGTTTGTTTTGTCGAGAAAGAACATTTGCTGTTTTGTCATTTAACTGACATTTGAAAAAAGCCAACCTTTTCCACCCAAGATGATGAACCAGAAAACCAAATGCATTTCAGGAATGCAATCAAAAACTGGGGTCAGTAAAGGACTGAAAACAATTTTGAAAACAATTTCCAGAAAGGAAGTCAAATGTTTAAAAGACAATGCAAATCATATCTCAAAATAGCTTCCCCGTGTGCTAATATTCCAGCTGCTGTACAAATTAATGAGGTTCTTGAGAACACTTCAAAGAAATCATGTTTAATAAGCTTTGCTAAGGCCCCAAGATATGGAGTTTCACTTGCAGACTGACATGAAACAAGACGTATCTTGCTTTCCTAATTCTAGTCTTTCTCTAACGAGGAGGTACAGGAATGATGAGGTGGAGTTACATAGATTAAAACATGATTATATAGTATTTGGATTTGAATTTCAAACACTTTAATTACATTCTTTTCTAGACCTGAGCTTTTGTGTTTTGTTGTAAACTTTTCCCTATTTTAAGATGTATGTTAAAAAGGGAAGATTGTAACACTGTAATACAGCTCTGAAAACACAGGTGTCTAAGAGTATTAAGTAATACAACCTAATCTGACTGCACTGTAACTTAAGCAGATGTTTAATGAACCATATAGTGTATGCTTTCATGAACAATGTTCATACTGGCTAACATTTTAGGGATAAGGGGTTGCAAAATTACACTTCATATCTGGTTAATAAGCCAGTTAATATACAGTAATTATTACAGACAGAATAAGATTTAACCAATCTAAAAATCTAAATAAACCATCTAATCCAAGATTTAGAGTTTGATTATTGGCATTTTCATGTCACTACATCAATACTTTATTAATATATTCCTTGGAATACAATAATTGAGAAACGGAATCTGAAAACCTTAATAAAAAGTGTTATCTTATTTTGTTAGTAAACTGAAATTGTTCCATATTTTTCTGTTTTTCATTTTCCCATGCCTGGTTTTCCTGTATCACAATTTTATGTTTCTTCCAGGGAAAGTCTCTGAATAGCAACATATGGCTTCATAATTGACAGTAACAATTCACAGCAGCTTTTGATCAGCACAACATACTGTAGCATTCAAATAATGAAGCCAGTGGCCAATCTTAATGTTTTCTCTTTGGAAGGCACATTTTTTTCATATGAAGCTGCAGCTACATCCCAAATACAAACAGTCTTCCAAACATTGTTGGACACAAGACAACCGGACTGTATACAAAACATAAAAAGCCTAAGGGAAAACTAATTTAAATTCTAGAAACCATAGCAAGTAGGAAGGAATTACGAAGAGAGACAAAGAGAGAGATCCTCAATTCCTGAAAAAAATACTGACTGTAGAAAACGTTAGAGCTGGTGGTTAAATTCATCCAAAAACGCAACTAATGAAAACCTAGATTTACTCTGAACTATGAAAATTGCTGAGCAATCTTATACTGGTTCTTGCTTACAAAAAACATGCTTCACAAACCTGCTTTCTGTGGCTAGTCTGCCCATGCATAATGATTGTAAAAACACAGTTCAGCAAACAGAGGAGTGCAATATTGCTCATATATATAAAAATATCACTGCAAATAAAATCCTAAAAGGTTGCTAGGTAATGACTGAAAATCTTCAGCTACGATGACGATGAAAAGAAAGTGTTTCTACATGAAAAAAAAATACCCACTATCTCGCACAGAGTAGTAGGACCAGAAACAAAAAAATACTGGCCGTAAAGTTTTTAAAACAGTTGAGAAATACATTTTACTTGAAACAAAAGACAAATGAAGAGTGAATCTAAAATTGTAGCAACCCAGACACACACATAGTGAGACATGGAAATAATAAACTTGGTTGAAAATGTCATCAGGCTTTAAACTCAAGAGTTTACTTTGAGAGTTTACTCTGAAAGTTACTTACAGGGTTTTCTTACTGTGGTAAGAGAGTTGAAAGGCGTTTAATGATGTGACCTTAACAGAACTTCTATTTTTATGTGCAAATAGCACCTTTTTCAAATTAAAGGTAAATTAGGTGTTTTAATTGTAGATCTTTTGGGCCTACCAAGCAATAAAAGGCAGCAATTCACAAAGGAACAATACAGACTAATAAATAGGCAATAACACACTTCCTTTTACCAAATATCTGCATAGCTCTAATCGCCGTATATCAGCAAAACGCCTTTGTTTAGCACATAGAATGAAAAAGAATAGGCTAAAATTAGGCAGCTTCTTTACTCTGCCTTTTTATTAAGAACACAGTTATTGATGGTATCAGTAGCCATGGAATACAAGCTGCTTCCACACAATTCCAAAGTGTCCTTCTTTCCATTAAAGTAATCTTGATAATTAATATACAAGTCTAGGAGACATTCTTGCTGCAAAAGGCAACGCTCTGGCCTCTAGCCTAAACCAACAGGGGGAAAAAAAGGCATGGATTGTTGGCCAAAGTGAGCCCCCAGATGGAGCTAATGCACAGCTTCAGGATTGCGGATCGTGGAAAAGGGAAGGGGGGGGGGGGGGTTGTTTATAGACAAGGGAGAGCAATAAGAAGACTGAATGTGCAGCACAGCAATAGGAAGATGATGGTTTGGGGGGTACTCACCACTCTCGTTCTTCTCTATTACATCCACCACCTCTCCGGCCTGCAGGCTGATCTCTGAGTTCTCCTGTTTCTCATAGTTGGCCACCACCACATACTGCTCCAGCACCATGGGATCTGAGTTGTCGGCTCCTGGGGAGGGGAAAAAGCAAGCCGTCAGCCAGCTTCCAGCCATGGCTCCCCGCGAGCGACCACCGGGCACCCGACACGCCATAGGCCAATTCGTCAGTGGACCCCAGCCAATCAGAACAGAACCTCGGCTCAATGCATATTCCCAGGCGTCTGGCCATATAGCTGAATCGTCCTCTGGCCCACACTGAAGCACAGAGGAACATTTGAAGAAAGAAAAGAAAAAAGGGTGAAGCGTTGAATTATCTGGGATTCTTTAGCTAAAGGGGTTCCATGTTGGCAGTTTGGCCTCCTCCATAGTCCAATGGGTGGCAGAGAGAAAAAGAAAGAGGGAGCCACAGACAGCTGGGGATGTGACTCTGGAATGGAAGAAAAGAAAAGTTTCCCCTGGAAAATAAACAGCCTGCTAAAAGGCTCCTTCTCCTTTCCGAGGCTGGAGCTGGAAAGCGAGTGGGGGGTTGTGTACGCCAATCATAAGAGTCTACACTACAGCCCTTAAATAGAAACATATGAGTGGGACGGAGTTCTAGAGAGAGAGGCTGGGCCTCTGTTTATATGAAACACAAGAGGAAAGCATTTTACTCGGGTTAGCCAGTTGAGGGCTTTTTTTCCGTTTCATTTTTAACCTTTTGAGTGCTGGGAATTGATCTAGCCAGTTTTTGTTCTTCATTGTTACAACTCTAAGATCAGTAGCTGTTTTTTTCAGATAATAACAAAGGACCTGCAGGATATTCAAAGGATTTTTCTATGCTTGAAGAGGTCTTGTCTGCACACTGGAGGTTTGAAGGAATGGATAAAGACCCACTGTGAAGCAGACTAGTGACAACTGGGGTGAAGGCGCACCTTCGTAATCTAAAATAACTCAAATATGACAGCCTGAGATTTGGATCTTATTTCTATATTTCTATATTTAATAACTTGCAACAAAGCTTGTTCTTAAATTTAGTTATCTAGCGATCCGAGCAAAAGAACATCAAGTGCAGCAAAAGTAATGCTCATATTAAATCTGCATCAATATATTCCTAAAACAACACAAACAGTTTTCACGTACTTTATGTGGGAAAACTTCAAAATGTGTGAATTGCATCAAAATGTCTTCAAAATATATACTTTACCTAGAGAGAATACAAAAGAAGTCCAGGACTGCACATGTGAGATAATTGTTGAGAAAATTATTGAAGCTTGTGAAAATTCAATTCCCTTCAGCTTGGGTTAAAAAAGTGTCCTACTCGTCTAAACACTTATTATAAATACCACAAGAAGTCACACATTGGGCTACATCAGGGTTAAGACAAGCCACAAACTGGGCACAAATATTAGGATCCAAATATTTTCCATTTGGGCTGGGATTTGAAATGTCCTGTTAACAAGACAAACACTAAGCTAAGCGGCAGAAAGAAGGGAGACAGCTCCCCTTTAGTGGTACAGTATATCAAACATCCTGTAGACCTCTCTGACCCTACCTCAGGTCTCTACCTCAATAGGAGGGAAATGTGCCTTAGTCATTTTAAAGTAGGGTAAAAAAAAAAATCAATACCACAGTTCCACTTTCTTTCCCATAATTCAAAACTATTTCAATAATAATAATACATCATAGTAACAACGATATGTTGCAAAGTACCAGGATGTTCAATAAGAAGACAGAGAAAAGATTAAAAGATCCTTTTAAAAAGGATCTGCTTGGAATATGTTAGATCTAGATTTCTGGCTCCAGGAGCCAGGCTTTGTAAAGTAGCTTGTGGAAAAATGTGTTCATTTACCAAACACTGATGATTAGCTTAGATTTTATACTTAAGAAAGGCGATTGAGAACATTTACAATTACCACAGGGTTTTTAGTGGGGTAATTAGTATTACAGATCTTACTCGAGGAGACAACAGCCGTGTTGCAACCACAAGGTTAGGTGTTTAGAGCCTTACTTTCTTCTGTCGTTAGTCACCACTAGACGGCAACTGCTCTCCCATTTTCCAAACACTACCATACATCTAACAGCCAACTGCAGAAACATCAAGAGAGTTAGGCCCCTGTTCAACCTCTTCACAACAGCAAAGTTGTGTGAGTTGTGTAGTCTTTATCACGCACAACAGCCTCATCAATCAGGATTACCTCATCAATAAAAAATCCTGGCAACAAAACTACTTACTAGCTTGGAATTTCTCACATTGAAAACCCAGCAGCTTTCTCATCATCATCTTACTATACATCTAGTCTATTACTCAGACTTTTCACGTAAACTTAAAGTTGTTTTTTTAGAAAAAGGAAGGCCCCATCATTTCCTTATCTGAAATCCATAATGATGCATCTATGGGACTGGATGCTATTTATTAGTCCAAAGGCTAATTTAAGTATTCATTCATGAAAACAGAGGTGTTTTTCATCAGTAGGAGCAGAAAGTTGAACATACTGTATTAACATCTACGTATTTTGTCCACATAAAATCATTGAGAATAGGATGAGGTCAGTGCTTAAGAATGGTTTTGAGTACAATGTGCCAGACACTATGAAATGTCTCCAGGGAGAGAACCTGAGATCTTTCAGTCCAAAAAAGCCAATTCCAGCCACTCTTTAATTAGTCGTGTGTCACCCTATTTAGACTGGCAGAGTTCTCACAGACACAAGCCTCCTGAGAAAACCATGTCTGTTATAAGAAGCCCAGGAAAATAAAAAGCCCAAACAAAACTGCCTGTGGTGGATTTATAAACTCTGCTACAAAGGCAAGCTCAAAACGTGGCCAGCAAATTAATGCACAGACAGCAGTAAACTTCACACAACAGAGGGGCACAGCTTTGACATTTTATTTTGATTTACATTTACACAAATAAACAGCTGCTGTCACTTTTAAATTCCAATTCTTTCATATTTACACTTTTGCAGTGTAAATTTTAAATTGTTAGCTTTCCACATAGAAGAATGACTCAGCTTCCTTGAATGGCATTCATTATTTTTTAGTCCAAATCTACCAAGCACTTTGAACACATTATTTTTATTGACCCTTCTGTTGTTTTTATCTTCAGGACTGCAGTCATACTACACTGGCATGTCGCAACGGAATCTCCAAGCAAAAGGATTATGCTTAAAGCACGGTTTTTGATCAAAGAACAACTACAATTACAAAGCTTTTTAGTCAAAACAAATAATTAATTGGACTCAGTCTTTGGTAATCGTAAAATAACAACTATAACTACGTCACCATTTTTAAAGACTAATAACTTTGATTATTACAAGTTAACATTTCAAAGGCTTTACAATTTTACAGTATTTGACCACAACCTGGGTGCCAAGTCACATTTTAGAAAAAAAACATGAGAAACAGAAGATTATAAACAATGTGTAATAATACTGGACCTTCAAAGTACCTCTTTCCTATTATGGGCACTCTGAATTCGAAAAGTACATTCCTCTTTCTATACAGCCACAAAAGATTGTAAATTGAGTTAAATATATTTTGACCAGAACTGTCTAATGACAAGAAGGTTCTTCATAAAATCTATAAAATCTCATCATGGCTAATGTCTCTAGCCCTATGCTTACATTTAATTTCTGTGAATTTTTCAAATTATTAGTTATAAATCTATTTTCTGCTAACCCTAGACTGTCAGTCTTTATGGTGGCAATCTGATTTTTTGGTCAAAAGAATTCAACAACGTGGGAGAACGTAAATTATCGTCACAGCTGACCTGCACCTAGGCCTGTACGGACAGATAGTAAAGGAAAACATCTGCCTCACTCGTAAGACTTGATGGTGTATTTTACTGCAAGCCTTCTTTCACATCGGCCATCTGATTCATACACAACCACAATATTTGCCTGTCGCCATTACATATTAAAATTCCATGCACTATTAATCCATTCACAGGTGGCTATAGAAACAGTCTCTTTGGCAGGAGAACGGAAACAGTCTTTGATGTGAATAATAAGCAATTGATGTTTTTTGATCATTTTCACCCCCCACAAGAGAAGTTTAATATTATATCAACGTATAAAGCACAGCTAGAGTCAAAACTTTAAATGCATTACATTCAAATCATAAATGCTACAAAACTCTCTTTACATGTAAGTAGCTTTTTTTGACCTATTACCACATGACTCTGTTTTCTGCCTAGAAGAAATTAGGAAGGATTCAGCTTTTCCAGAAAATGCAGCTTATGTTGGGCTTCTCAAAATCATTTGGAAGCTGAGTGAGTGAGAGAAGCAAAAGCCGACGGACATGTTTGTATTCCCACTGCACTCGATCCCTTCTATCCTCTCTTTCAGAAAAAGAGAGCACCTTCGAAGACTTAAGAATGTAAGATGGTCACAGTCAAGCGGAGGCCACTGGGCCCATCTAGCCCATTAGACAGTTAGCAGTTAATTGATCTGAGGATCTCATCCAGCCACTTCTTGAAAGAAGCCAGTGTAATGGCTTCAACAACGTGGTAGGTGCTATTCCAGCCTCCCACAACCCTTGGGGTAAAAAAATGCCTCCTGTTCTCAGTTTTAAATGTACGGTACTTCCACCCCCACTTCCTCGTCCAAGTGCTCTCTCCAAAGGAAACCGTTGAGACCCACCACAGTGGAGAACAGCCAAACAGGCCAATAACTGACAAGTGCCCATGGTTGCAGCAACAGTCAATGTAAAGGGATCCCTGGAGGATGCACCACAGCTATGAGAGGTGTAGTAAGCCAAGGCCTTGTGTAATAGCCAAAGCCTGTCTGGCATTTCTTGGAATTTAAGCTCAATTAAACATGCTCAAAGATGTTTAAATTGAAAAGTATATTACAACTAGGCAGGAACAAAATTGTATATGCTGAATACTTGAGAATAATATAGCCATAAAAAGCTACATTACTAGTAAAATATTCTAACTAAATGGAGGACGGTAACAAAAGATTCCATGCCAACAGATACCCTCCGAAATTCTTAGTGAAAATTAGGCTTACTTCTTAATAACTTTGGCCTGGATCCTCACCTAAGTGGTTCTACAGTTGTCTGCTTTAGTTACCATTGCAAATTCATATATTGTGTAGCTGTACTATATATTCATAACACTAATGTGTAAACAATACCACCTGACTCAGCAAGTAGAAAAAATGAAACCCTTATTATTTTACCATAGATTATATAATTGCTCACTTTAATATGAAAACTATTAATTGCAAAAGACAAAAAGCTTATTAGTTGTGAAATGAGCTTACCCAGTGCATTGTACAGCTAGTTAATGATCCATGTATTTAAGCTGTGCTTAATGAAGCAATTTAATGCTGATTAATGTCCTATGATAAAGAAAGCACAAAAAACACCAAAAAACACCAATCCACTTCTTCATTTACAATCTGTTGGAGTTCTGCTTGAGTCACACAGGCAGACTCTGTGGAGCCAAAGACTACAAATTCAAGAGTTTATCACTCATTCCTTCTGGAAGAGCTGGCAGGCACTACATTAGAGTTTAGACTCTAAAATCAACTGCTATCTGTTTCAGAGAATGAGGACTGGAGTAAAAACAGGAGCAATTATTTTGAGTGAAATCTGCATATACTGTAAAAACGTATTAAAAAAGGGCTTGTTTATAGACAACATTAGACAGCAGCCAGAGGAGTCTGGAACAGAATCAGACTAATCATTTTGTGACCTAGTTTGTGCTTGTTTTTGAGTCTCACTCAAAACTGTAGAAAACAAGTGTTGGCTTTTTTTTCTGCTTCCCAGGGTTTCTGCTTTTTATTATGCTCTGACATCAGTAAGATCCAGCAGGAAGAGCAGCTCAGCTCTCAGTTCATTGTGGTCCTTGGGCTCATCTGACCAGGCACGTGCCCACAGCGTGTGAGAAGACAGGGCAAGTGCAGATCCAGGATTCGGGTTGTGCAATATGATGAAGGCAACAGCATTGGCAAGAAACGCAAAGACTAAAATACAACTGGATTAAAAGAAGTAGAAACAAGGGAAAATATGAGAGGGATGGCTGGAAACCAGGAGGCAGGTTTATGTTAACAATATACATGTAAATGCCGTATAATTTAGCCCATACTTAGTCAAGTTATATCTAATTCTGTCCTCAGACCTTTTTATGATTTTTGAAAAGGCTTTCTTCAAACTTGAAAGGCTTTGTTGATTTACAGTGTTTATAGTTGTACTAGCCCTCTCCTTCGGTTCCAAAGAACTTTTGTTTTGTTTTTTGTTATTCATTCCCCTTTTTCAAGTTAAGCAGCATGCACACAAACGCTAGACTCTAGATGAAAAGTAGCCAGGTTAGATCAGGTCATCTCTTATTCTATAACTTAGAAATTCACAGGTTCAATCACTACCAGTGAAATCTCTGGAAGCCTTATAAACTAGTCGTTTTCGCACCTAAAGACAGTTATACTGTCTTTAGGTACTGGCTTGGAGGAGGGAGAACGGGCTTTAGTCACTCCAATTAAATAAAACATTTTGTGGATTGTATATATACAGTACCTGTGATAATCTGTGGTGATTACATCTCTGTCACAAATATACAGCATGAATGATATTAGTGACTTCAGAGACAACTGTTACAAAAACACACACCAGAGAGTATCAAACCTAAATATTCACCAGGGCACCGCTGCTCATATGCTAAGCATCACCTAATTTAGGAACAAACCATGGTTTAACATAAGAAATTCAGCCTATCTGGCTCATTGCTTATTTAGTAAATACTTGATCCAAAAATCTCATTCAGCTTTTTCTCTAAAAAAAGTCAAAGTTGACTTCAGCAAAACATATGTGTTCAATATTGACAAGAAGAAGTACAATTGTGTGTTATTAGTTCAAAAAGACAGTGTTTGTCTATTATTGTGACTTAGTTGAAGATCAGACCGCATTTTTATGAGTAATTAATGCCGAAATCCAGGTGATTCTGAAGGGTTCACAAAGTTTTTCTTGCAACTGTAGAATACTTCAAAAAAGCTTGAAAACTTCTAGGTCTTGCTATTTAGAACGAGTTGAATCTAAGAATTCTTTCAACGTTTTTTGTCCCATTTTTAAATCAGTTTCTTTTGTTAAATTCTGTATTTATCCAGATAAGTAAATTGAGAACAAAATCTCATTACAAGCTGGAAATTACCCATTCCGTATAGTGGGGCATTTAATAGAGCAACTTAGCTAACTTTCCTGGCTCAAGGATACAATATCAGTACCGCACCTGGAACTTGACTCTACAACTGTCACACCCAGGCTGGGAGCAGCTCGCAGCTCGCATAGGTAACTGCAGCATTCCCATGAGCACTCGCATTCCACCCGAGCCCGTGAGGACCAGGACAGGCTGCCTGTCAGTCCAGCCGTCTCCCTTTCAAGCTTCCAATCAATTCTCCAATTAGGTACTGCATTTAATTCCCGGAACCCCATTGAACCAGTGCTCTAATGTTTAGCTACGTTGAGTAGTGCAATTCCCTGCCTGCTCTAGAAACCTGCTTTTAAGCGATTTCAAATCTCAGGGAAGCCGCTTGCCTCCGGCTTCCTGATCTTCTTCAGCAGTCTGCACTGATTCCAGCGGCATGCCTTGTCCTCTAAGCCTCACCGTGCCAGGCTCCCGAGTCAGCCTCAATTCTCCAGGCTCCCCAGTCAGCCTCATCTATCCAGGCTCCCCCTGTCAGCTGTAATTCTCCAGGTTTCAGCCTCTCCACACCATACTTCCCTATCTGTCTGCCTGCATCAGCTGGCTCTGCTTCTCTCACCCTTTGGATTTCCAAAACGTTCTGAATCCCGCAGTTAGATCTCAGCCTGTCATTCAGACCACAGCAGCGTGCTACAATCAGACACAGTGACACAACACCCCTCTGATCTGGAGTCCAGAGCCTTAAACACTCCACTCTGCCGCCTCACTTCAGTACTCTCAAGCAGAGAGGGGCAGTGTAAACAGAGCAAAGAGAAAATAAAATAAGCCCCACCACCCCCCGCCCAAACCATCCACTTAAGTATAGTTTTGCAAAATCCAAGCAAGTGCATCTGGAGTGAGAGGAAGCAAAACAAAAACTGGAGTGGAGCAAAAGAACACAGAACTTTGACAGTCAGCCTGTCTACGTATCCTGAGAAAACATGCTTCACACCAGTGATGAAAGCAGTTATGATTATGTACATTATAACCAGGCTAAGAAGTGACAACAAATGAATCACACACTGCAGAGAAAAAGAAAAAGGTGCATGCTGAGTGCGAATGGGTTACAAATATGAATGCAAACCGAACCCATGCTGTTTTCACCACAATTACCACAAGAGCCATGAATATACCTGGTGCCCCTTTCTTCGGACTCTGGGACAGACTGTACATCCATACTGCACAGCCCCAAGAATGGCAGAGGGGAAAGAAAATAAACAATTATTGGTCCATTCAGGCTGAAACACCTCATTTGAAACATGCATTAAAATCTGCACATATCAAGGTTTTGCAAGCCAGTCAGAATGCTGAAAATGCACTACAAAAAAGAATTCATGGTAAAACCTCAGTTTTCAAAATGTTCTGCACTCTTGCATAATGCTCCCAACAGATTTTTTTCAATACATTGATATTCTTGTTAAAGAGGTTTCATTAGGATGTATAAACTTAACACGTACATTATTCATCTAAAACCTGTGACATTTTATTGCTTTGGTATGATGACTTTAATGTCTAAATTCATTCTAGAGATTACATTTGTGTGAACGAGACTTAATTAAGGAGTATGTAGTGTATTTATAATGGCTGCTTTTTCTACAGATGAAAAATGAAACAACAACGGCAATAAAATCATAACAAAAATGAATTAAAGCAGGAAATTTTAAATCTAAGTAAGAATTCATATTTTTATGATTTAGTAATCAATGGATTACTGTTTTTATTATTCTTTATGCTATATCAACAAGGTATATATAATTTTTCTATTGCGAAAGGAATGCTTTTTTTTGTTTCTGTGCTGAACAGGAGGATTAAATTGGGAAAGAGTAAATTAATATCACCCAAAAAGGTACTGATAGAATCACAGCTGTCATTTAAACATAATGACCTATAAACTATAGGAACTCTTGCAATTATTGTACAGCAACCGATCAAAAATAAAAGAGAAAAATGAGATATTCCCTAAAAAATAGTTTGACATCGATTCCAACAGGGGACAGTTTATTAGGAGCTGAGATAAACTTGATGCTGAATTAGTGCTCGAAAAAAACCTTTCAGTCTCTTGAAATGTTTTACAGCTGCTGAAGAACCTATGTATTGCCATCCCGTTAGATCTCCTGAGGCCCAAGCTGAAAGGCTGCAATTTTTCAGGCCAGTTCAGGAAATCAAACGTCATACATCAGCATGCAGCTAACACAGGCAACGAGAAAGAAAAACACTCGTGAGCAACGCATGAAAACTATAAGGAAAGTGGGGCCATCTACTTCCACAATGAGGCATGACGTCGGAAGAACAGGGTTTCAATTTCTAGTGCTTACCATTTGTCCGCTTTCTAAAAGCCATTACAGTACCAAGGCAGTTCTCCAACACTGTTGTCAGCAAGTTTAATTAAATTAAGGATGAGAGATAAAACAAAAGCAAAATACAAAAACAAAAATAAGTCTGGCCCCGTTGTCTTTTCGAATTTGAAATTTGAATTTGATCCTCTTGCTCTCCCTGCTGCCCCCAACTGTGACCAAAGTAAACAAAAACTGAATTTCACATTACAATATGTTATAGTAGCTTTAAAACAACAAACAAAGCTATAAATATTTTGGCAAATTCTTTAAATGCCTCAGGAATGTAAACAGCTTGTTGAAGGTGACTGCAGTTAAACTTCTTCAATTGGGCACACAGGCCTTTTTTTTCTTTTTGTAAAGCTCTCGACATCTGATTGATATTAGCCCAGACCACTGCACCCATACTGTTGGCTAATTCCTTCCAGGTTTCTCTGACGATCAAAATGTCTCATAAACGGCAATGTTTTCTTGTCTGTTTTGTGTCTGCGTTTTGATTTTTTTGTTCTCGCTTCTTAAACACACAAGCTCTCATTCCCCCTCACCTAGGAATGTGGAGATGGCAAAGACCAAAGTGCCTGGTTTCACAATCCCTGTTTGTTTGCTGGGTCTCGTTTTTTGGAATTTCGACTTCAAGGCACTATTGAGCCAGCTTCCTTTTTTTTCATTGGCTTAGATTTAAACTCCAGCTTCCTGTCTCAACCCCCACAGCCTCCACTGCTTCATATCTACAACTAAATCCCAGAGTGGACAACAGTGAGGAGTTTTGCAAGAATGCATTTCTTGGACAGAACACAAGAAAGCATGAGATTTATGACGGATGTTGGTGTGCTTTAGAGAAACTTTTCCTTGCTGACAAACAGTTGGTAACAGCCAGGGGCTTGAAAAACATTTATAACAGCAGAACTGTAAGGTTTCTGTCAGAGCTGATGACAAACAGGAAACTAACTAGCAATTCATTTCTCTGTAGCCAGTGACCTTTGCAAGCTACCTGTGACAGGTCATTGAAGAATTGCATTTTGAGATTTAGTGAGAATATGCAACACGGTGACACAAGAGATTAGTTTTCTGCAGCAATGGTGTGGGTGGATGTCAAACAGAATTTAAGATATTCTACAGCTGTTAAAGCAGCCCAGTCTTTTTTTGTAATTCACCATATTCTGACTCACGCAGAGAACTGTTTGCTTTCTAATATTTCTCATTTAATGAGGGTGGAGTATGAATATGACATGAGAAGAAAAACTGGCACCTATAGTGATAAAATATTTTAGTCAATGTTAAACATTAAAAACAGATTTTTTTATATGGGTTATCTCCTCATTTTCCAATTGGCTCAACTTTTTTTAATCAAAATAATAGTTTGGAGATACATTTTTCTGTTTACTGCCACATTTCAATAGTGTCAAATTTCCTAGTGGTTATTTTATATCACAGTATTTATTCCACCTTAAGAAGTCTAGAAATACAGTTGTATCTCTTGATTTCTGAAAAACAGAACACCTACGTAGTGGACTGAATACGATAATCTATATGAAAGCTACTACTTTCCATTTCAAGAGAAAAAAATTACATTTTTTTAATTTTAGAAGCAAGAAGGTTCAACCAACAGGAATATTCATAATCATAAGAAACTGGAAACATTATCCAATTATAATGTTAAACATATAAGTAAAATTCTGTATATTTGCAATGAATGTACAGTACACAATAAAAAAACAGTTGAGCAATTTGGTAAAATACTGCATTATGTAACTCTGACTGAGAGGAAGAAAGATGTTCCCTTAACTTAGGAACTAGGGAAAATAATGGTCCATTATTTTAAAAAGTGGAATTAACTCTTCATTTGAATAACTTTGTGGAAACTAATGAATGAGTAACGCGTCAGTAAGCATTTTGCTTAATGAAGAACAAACACTTTTTCCCAGAAACCTGAAAAGTGTAGAAATGCACCTCCAGTTCTCAGTTTTAAATACACTCTCCCATAATTGCCACTTGTATCCACTAGTTGTGTTTTGCTGTTTGAGGAGTCTGAATGGGTGAATTGAGTTCCCTAATAGTCTTCTCTGTTCAGGACTAAGCAGGGTAGTCCTTCCCCCCAGGAATGTATCTGGTCAATCTTCTCTGGACTTAGCTTTACCTTGGTAACTTAAAGTTTACACAATATTCTAAATTAATATAATTTATCAAAAAAAAATATATTATAATTCTTAATATTATATATATACTATATATATTGACATATACATGATACCCGGAGAATGGCATAAATTGCAGACACAGCTGTAACTTCAGAAGGATTAAATGGCAGTGTTACGTCCCAGTGTGTGTTCTGTGTGTGTTTTTTCTATGTTCCACACTGCTGACCCTTGATTGTTCTCCCTTCCCCATTGGCCCACCATCACTCCACTGTTTCAGTATGACGTCATCATCAATTAGCTCTCAGCCAATCAGAACACATCTTATTCAGTATATAACCTGGAGATTTTCAGCAAGGAGAGGCCTTTTGTTTGACTTCGGTCCTGTTCGGTTTTGGTTATTGCTTCGCTCCTGGTTATTGCTTCGGCTTCATTTGTTGGTTTGTTTTGCTTTGTGTGTGTGTGTGTATTTTCGTATAGCTTCGGCTTTGTTGTTTTGTTGGATTTACGTTAGTTTCTTTGTACTTTCGTTTGTTTGTGTGTTCATCTTTGTTTTGTCATTACCTTGCCCCAGTGTTACATGTTCAACTTTTGTGTTCTTTTTGTACCCTGCTCCTGTTTATTACTCTTGTTTTCCCTTATTTGTCTTTCTGGTTCACTTGTGCTTTTGTGTGAACTTTTGTATATAAGGTTAGTTTAGGTTGTTGGGTACACTAACACACTTAGTTGATTTTGTATTAGTACACTAGTTTAGTACGGGTGAGTGCCGTTTGTCTTGTATGGTTTTGGGTAGTCAGTGCAGGTTAGCTAGGGTGTTGAAGACGCCGAAGACTGTGTGTTTCGGGTTTTCTTTTGTAGTCCTTTGGCACCACTCTAGTTCCTTACCCTTGTTATCATACTTCCTAGTCCCTCACCAAAACCCCCCCTGCTTCCAAAAGAATTATCCTAAATGTTACACCCCTTTTCCCCTAGACACTTGGGGTCGTAACAGGCAGGTAGAGAGAGCAGAAGTCTGTTTTAAGCACTTTGTGGTTCTGGCAAAATTTTCATGTCAAAGCAGAGTTCCATTAAAGATTTTAAGGCAAGACCAACAACATATAATTATGGAACAAGTAATAAGTTTATTCCATGCTGAAAAGAAAGAAAACACAACATTTCAGCTGTGGAGCCTTCTTTGGCTGTGACACAGCCAAAACGTGTTTTCTTTCTTCTCTTTTCAGCATGAAATAAACCTATTACTTGTTCCTTTGCAGCCTACGCATGCTGACACAGCTACCTACTTGAACTACTTCAGCCTACTTCTGCTGCGACCAACTATGCCTTCCTCTTAATCTTTTTCCAGATCTCTTCATCATTCCTTCTCTTCCTTCCTGGGCTACTTGTCTCCTTCTCTAACTAAACGAGCATTCTGTCACAGTGATCTGTTTTAAGACCAGGCTTTCTAGCCACCTCCTATATATAATATAATATAATTAATATAATAATAATAATAATGATAATAATAATAATGATGATGATGATGATCAAAACTTTCAAAAAACTCTTAAACAAGTGTCAGTGAAATCACAAGCAACCCCGAGAATGCAGGGGTAAAGTTATCCAAATCTACTGTACATTTCACAGAAGACAGAGAAAGCACAAAACACAAAAGCCAAATAACAATTTGCTTTGAAGTTCAATTTAAGCCAGGAGAGATTTGGAACACTAAAA